TTATAACCTATTCATTCCTTTTTGTATTTTGGCTACAGCTGTATTGCAAAGATAATGTAATTCTTTTATGGATTTCATTGTAGTGCACACAAAAACATAGATGGATGCCCAAATATCTCTGTCTTTAACAACAGTGTAACCAGTGAAACAATTGGAATGTACTACCACAGCACTGATTATAAGATGTGTTCATATGAAACTTTTTCCCAGTGTTTTAAAAGTCTTAAAGATCCTGAAACTAATTTGTTTTCATATCATGTGTTTGATTGAGTTGGTAAATATCTGTTTTCATATCATGTGTTTGATTGAGTTAGTAAATATTTTTCATACTTTGTTTCTTGCTTTAAATTTGTTGAAAAATGACTTAAGTCAGAAATTAAAATAGAACTATATTTCTTTACCTAGTCTTTAAACATTGCAATATTGCATTTTTACACTACCTTTGCTGCCTATTCTTTTGGGAAAGGATTGCTTGACTTTATAATTTATGTTTCTCTGCCTCTATTTTTCTCTTCTGATACTGTCCTTGATTCTTATATTCTAGTTTAACATGGAGTAATTGGTCTGGTAGTTAATATATTAATTGTGTAAATTGTAAGGGAGCAGAAGATGAACTGCATATCAGTAGTTCAGATACAGTAGAACCAATGGTGGTAATGGAAAAGCCAAAGGCAAAAATGAACTGTGGTTTATGAGACAAAAAATGATTTTAAACTATTCAGTTCAATCCATAGTTGGATAAATTACAAGGAAGGAACATAGCTTAAGTTTAACAGTGTAGTAATAGCAAGTCACAAAGAACACAGTGGTATGGTGGCACTGTACCCCTTTCCCCCAGGAGCAGAGTTAACTGACAATTGTGCTTTAGTTTAGGAAAGAAAAAAAAAAAAATCAAGATAATTAAAGTAGAAAAAGAAGAGATTGAAAGCAGTATAACTGAATCAAGTTTTCAGTCCTGAACCCAAGTATTTTTCTGTGTACTGAAATTTTAAAAAGTGGTCACTGAATATTTATTTAATCAAGAAAACATGGAAAATAGGAAAACGCCATTAAATATATAAAGATGAATATTCCTACAAGCTGAAAAATGTTCTGAATTTGATGGCATTATCTGAAGATTCCAGAGTGCATGGTTTAGGAGGGAGCTGGAGTCAGTGTAGTTTGAGATTTCATGATATGTTCACTAATTGTATGCCAGTGTTTTTGTATTTATGCTATTGCAGTTAGAGAGTTAGATTCTTGACTCAGAAAATAGCCCTAAAGAATGTCAGCTGATTAACATCAGCCTGAAGGGATATATGCAGAATTTTAAATCATCTTCTGGAGTCTAAATGAACAGTTCTGGAGATAAGGACTATTGAAGACTTGTTTTACTACCTGCATCAAAATATTAGCAGTGTATTGTGCTTGCTAAGGAAGTAAAGGTATTCTTACACTGTGCAGAAGGTGGAGAGTTGGAAATGGACAGCCTTAGTTCACATTCTCACCCACTGTGCTGTGGAGTGCCTTATGAGTTTTACACTTGACAAGGGACATACAGACAAATTGGAGTGTGTCTATATGAGTAGGAAGGTATAAAAACATGTTTGTATAGTTTAGAGGACACTTCTTTTTTTTTTGAGACAGGGTCTCCCTATGCAGTTCAGGCTGGCCTTGAGCTCACTTTGTAGCGCAGGCTGGTCTCAAACTTGCAACGATCCTCCTGCCTCAGCCTCCTGAGTGCTAGGATTACAGGTATGTGCCACCATGCCCAGCTGTATGTGTGTTTTTTTTTTTTTTTTTTTTTTTTTGTGTGTTTTTTTTTTTTTTTTTTAGTTTAGAGGACACTTAAATTATATGATAGAACTTTCCAAGTGCATGTGAGGCTATTGCATGGAGCCAGTGGATAAAATTTTAGTATTGAAGATTATGAATCAATTAAATGAATATGTAATGTTTAAGAACTTCAGAGACATTACAACAAATTATCTTGATAGTGGGGATGATATTTAGATAGGAGATGATAATTGCACAGGTAACATCCCCAGTTTGGGAGTTACAGTATGAAAAGTTCTGTACTGATGATTGTGAACTTACATGTGTGTGAACCACTGCTGCAGGTTGATAAAGGCTTTATAGAGATACAATATGTGATACAACAAAAATATACACCGTATAGTAAGGGAATACGCCCTTGTTTGATAAGTGAATGCCTGTGAACCCACAACTTTCAAGACAACGAGAGCATTCCCCACATGTATTGTGTTTCTCTAATAGCTGTGCTATAATTATATTAACATGGTAGGATAATATTAACAGAAGCTGATTGCTAGTACTTAGGTAATAGAAAGTTTTGAACCTGGGGTGATGGGGGAAAATCATAACTGGGATTCTTGCATACTAAGATTGGAGAGCACTGGGTTTGAGTCATTCAGTAAGTGAGTTTTAATTAAATGAGGTACAGACATAGATTAAATAGGAGATTTGTCTGAAATCACAGAACTGATAGATCTGAAACCAGACCTCTGAGGGAGTGTTGTAACATCCCAGAAATTGCCAGTGATTTACTTGGTAGAAAGCTGCTGTTCATAAAGGTAGTAGTCCTCAGCTGGTTAGATTCAATATGAACTAGATTGTAAGTTCGTTGAGGATTGCTACTACGTCATCTTTTCATTCCCATCAGTACTATCTTATACATAATTTGTGACTTGTTATCAATGTGTGACATATCTGAGAAACTGAAAACATCATAGTAGAAGCACTTCTTCAATCTCCCTTATTAGACAAAGGTGTTTGAGAGCTGGAACCATAACTTATTTAGCACCAGTCCTCCAGAATCTAGCCCATTTCTCTCTTCCTTTACCCAGCAATCTGTTCAGTTCACCAAATAACTTATTATCTACTGTGTTCCAAGGACTGTTATGGGAACTGTGGACAAAGTGGGTTATAGAAACCCATGGAACTTTTAATTCTAAAATGAATACACAGATGTTTGTAAGTTAAGTGGTAATTGCATTGCTTCAATTTACTGGGTGTATGTATATATGAAGTCACTAGTTTTATGTATTTATGTATATTTTAACTGTCATTTGAACTTTTATCATTTATAATTATTCTGTTTTTCTAAGTTTGGCAAATTTGTTTACCTGGAAGGTATGTCCCCACCTTGATCTCCTTAACGTTACTGTGATTACTTATAATAATAAATTGTTCAATATTGAATTATTTTTGCAGTTCTGGGTATAAATTCCTCTGTTATAATGCATTTTTCTCCATATGCTGGTGGATTTTATTTATTTTTCATGTATACTTACAAATTTAATCTATGTTTGTTATAAACAATTATTGCCAGTCTTTATATTGCTGCTATGTTAAGAATTGAATAGTTTCTAAACAGATTTAACTGATAATACCAAAAATGCTTGACCTGGACTAAAAGATGTATGTGTAATTTTAATTGTATTTTTCTAATGTCTTTTGGTTAAGTTAAATATTAGTTTGGGGATTATTAGGGAAAATTTCATAATAAAGTTAGAAGGATAAAATGCACTTTAAAAATAATAAAACCCAAGATCTTCCATTTTGACTTTTACTGATTTTTATTGGCTGTTTAAGCACAAACATTTGGTAGAGTTTGATGAGCAAATTATTATTTAAGAAATAAAATGTAACAAGATGAACTTTGCTGTCAGTAAAGCGGAAACCGTACAGGTTTTAAAATGGTTAAGATTTTATACTTGGTTCATAACACCTTTGATCAAGCTTTTTTCTGGGTTGGATGTTATTTAACTGAAACTGATTTAAATAAGCAGTTAGGAAAGTTAAAGTGTATATTCATATTTGATAGTTCCTTAATATCAAAAACTTGAAATTCCACTTTGGAAGACATAAAAAATACACTTTAAAGAATTTTTTTAATTTTGCAGAGGTAAGCCTTTTTCCCAAGAAGGACAAATCTTTAGGATGAAGATAAATTAGATAAGTATCCAGCTAATCTTAATGCAGTTAGGGCAACTCTTCCTAGACCGTATGTTCCAATGGGAACCATCCTCTGGTACATAGAAACTTAATAATTCTTGAAGCCTAAATTCATTTTCTTTATAGGACTTGATTCATTAAAATCCTCCTTTTTAAAAGAAGTATACTTAAGATCATTGATCTTGGGTATCTGTACTTTCTTGTGTTAGATACATTAATCCAGTATAATTTGATTTCCATTTCTATCTTTCTCTTGAAACTTCTTTGATCACCAGTAAAGTTTGTGATCAAATCCAAGGTCCCATCTTTAGCTCTTTACCATATTTCTGTAATATTTGACACTGTTGATTACCTTAGCTTCTATGACTTCTCTAGTTCTGTATACCTCCATTTCTTGGTTTAGATCTTGTTTTCCTTACCTTTTGATTGTTGCTTTTTTTAAGGGTTCATTCAGATCTTCCTTCTTTTACCTTCCCTAAGACTCCTCTTCTGTTTTTTTTTTTTTACCACACTATTTATTTATCAAATTTCTGCTAACCTTGCAATCTGTTGTCTGTTGGATATTTCTGCATATTCTGAAGATAGCCGAAATACACGACAAAGTGGTCCCGTTTAAATCTCATTCAGACATGCTATTTTTCAAGTAAGAGGAGCCTTTAGTGTACATTTAACAGGTATTCTTATGGTAGCTGGCTGAAAGCTATCGCTTGGAATGACTGGCCTTATTTAAGCATGGAAAAATTAGATTAAAAAAAAGTCCATGTTATACTGTTTAAGAGTTAAGGTTCTGAAGTTAATTTTAATAAGCTGTGTTATTTGTTTGTTATAAATGTGATTTGTGGTGGAAATTAAGGCTGTCATTAAATGTGGGCTTAATCTAGAGACTAGTTCAGGAATGGAGTTTTAACACTCACTCTAGCTTTAACACTTCATTGATGACATTTTCCCCTGTCCTCTTTTTTTTTAATTTATTTTTTAATTTTTTTTGGACTGGCAAGAATATATTTTTTGTCTAACACATTTAAAATTTTTACTTTTAACAGAAATTAGCAGAGTACGGAAAGACATGTACAATGACACATTAAATGGCAGTACAGAGAAAAGGAGTGCAGAATTGCCTGATGCTGTGGGACCTATTGTTCAGTTACAAGAGAAACTTTATGTGCCTGTAAAAGAATACCCAGATGTAAGTATATTTTGTTGTTTATTCAACTTTGTTCTCCTGCCTCACATACTGTGTGGATAAATTTGGTGGTAAATATTTAAGTGGTGTCAGCTGCAGTAAAAAGTTCACATGAGGAACTGAAAACGTGAGTAATTTGATACAGGATGATTATTTCCCTAAGTGTATTTCCATTTGATGCTCTCTGTCACTTTTGGAAATGCTTATGGTAAAAACTGTTTTCAATTTCAAAATGAGGGCAGGAATTGTGGAAAGAACTTCGGCGTGGATGTTAAAAAGCACACCGTTCACCTCTGCTTGCCTTTAATCTGACTTAAGAGAAGCCACAGTTTGGGCCATATCATCCTTTTTGTAATGTAAGGATGTTGGACCATTATTTTCTTTCCGCTCTAAAATTTCCATAAAAATACTATTTCTGATCTAACCTCCACATCTTAGTTCATTACTCAACTATTCTCTCTAAGCATCTTACTATAAATATTTTCCTTGTCCTATACCAGTTGATTTCTGAATAAATCTGGACTCTTTGCCCTTGTTATAAAATCCTTTATGGTGTGATGGTCCATTTTGTTTCTCTGACTTCATCTTAAGTAATTGTCCCTCTTCTTTACTGTGGTACATTGTAGTCACATTGGCCTTCTTTTGGCTTTTGGAACAAGTCAAGTCTATTCCAAGCCTCAAAACCTTTTGTGTTAGCTGTACCCTGGTCTTTCCTGGCTGACTTCTTCTTGTCCTTAAGAATTGAGCATAAATGTCACTTCAGTGAAACATCCCTAATCATTTTATGTAAAAGTCATCTGGTTACTTATTGTTTCACACAAGTCTCTTTTTTTCCCTCTGTAATAGCATTTATTATCTAGCATTTTTCCTATTTAATATTCTGTATTTCCCCAGGAGAACATAAGGTACATAAAGTAAGAACCTTTTCTTTATTATTCAATGCTGTAACCCCCTTGTTATTGACATATAGTAGGCTTCCAGGACCTATTCAATATAAGTAAAAGTGGCTTTTTGTGAGGTTTGGAGTTTTCTGATCATAAATGAAAGAAGTTAAAAATGACAAGCAGGTCTGGTGATGCATGGCTGTAATCCCAGCATTCAGGGGGTTGAAGTTAGAGGGTTGTTGCAAGTTTGAGGCCAGCCTGGGCTACATAATTGAAGGCCATCCTGAGTTACATAGTAAGATCCTGTCTCAGAAAGAAAGAGAAAAAAGATTGCTTAATGAGTTCAAGGCCATCCTCAATTACATAGTAAGACCCTGTCTCAAAAAGAAAGAAAGAAAGAAAGAAAGAAAGAAAGAAAAAGAAAGAAAGAAAGAAAGAAAGAAAGAAAGAAAGAAAGAAAGAAAGAAAGAAAAAAGATTACTTATATGGACAAGTCTGCAGATGGGGAGTATGTGTCTTAAATTGAATTAATGGGAAGGAAGTTTTGCTATTTCACATTTTCTCTTTCCAATACAGATGTCTTTAAAGCTTACATATTTATTATATTTTTATACATATTTTTAGTTTGCCAATGTAGAATCACTTTTGGATATACTTCTGGTAGGCAAATGAAAAATTTGCTGGAAGATTATTGGGCACTGGTTGATTCTTGGCTTCTCTGAGAATTTAAGCAGCAAGATTTTATGGCCCTTGTTGTAGACCCTTGGTGTCAGCATATCTTGGTATCAATCAGTGCCTCCTAGACTTTATCTTTAATTTTCAGATTTTTGAAGGGTATGTTTTGGGCTAATGTGCTGTCACTATGGAGGCAAGTCAGGTTCCCTGCCATAAGTGATATGGGACCACTGTAGCCTAATCCTTGTTCTTCAAATTATTTATAGAGATAGGAACTTGTGATTGGAGCAACTGTCCCAGTTGGAATCTATACTAGTTTTTCAGTGTCTCCTACCCATCTGCTTACAAGCAGTAGTCATTAACATGAACTATGCAAAATCATGAAACCTCTATATGATATAATCTAGTTCAGCCTGGTTCCATCGCTTAAAAGGAAAATCCCACTCAAGCAAGAGTGTTTATATTATCTTATTTAAAAAACATTTTATAGTCTTCTAAACGAGGACCTCATTCTAGAGGATACCCCTTTCATCCTGTTCCTTTTCTTCCTTTACTAGTTGCGACTTATTAATTTCTTGAACTATTTTTCTGACAGTGTTGGAGTGAAACATTGTTTTCTCAAAGTTAATGTGTAAATGTTCAAGCCCCGTCCTATACTAGTTAAGTCAGAAACTTGGGGCTGAGATTCCACCTCACTTCTTTGATGCTAAGGATTGAACCTAGGGGCTTGCACATGCTAGGCAAGTGTGCTTAACTGAATTATACCCTCAGTCCTAACCTGCCCTTTTATGTCCTTGTAGGTGATTCTGATATATGCTGAAGTTTGAGAATTTCTACTGTAAATTTGCTTTTATTATCAAAGTGAACTAGACTAACATCTATCTAGGTCAGGGATGGCAAATTTATGGTACATGTGTTGTTCTTTTAAGAGAAAAGGTGTTAATGTATGAGTTTTTTTCTAAACTAAAACTTTAGTATTCAGGTTTAATTGCAATGTTGGCATTTTGTGATAAATAAGTGGGTTTTGGGTTACAGGTTGGGCACTCTCCTGTAAAAGTTTTACCATCACTAATCTAGGTGGCCATGTAAATTACCACCTTGCCAAGCCTTGTTTTAGGAGGTGTATAGAGTGGTAGATTAAATAATGCCCCTGCTCTTATGAAATGGGCATTTCATAGGCAAAAGCAGGCAGTAAGCAAATAAATATATATTTTTAGTTATCAGTACTATGGAGAAACAAAGTATATCTTCTTAAAAATAAAATGAAACTAGGGACTCAGATTTTGGCACTATGGGAAAATATTTATTTTAGAATTTTGAAAATATTGGCTACAAGACACTGAAGCAGGGATGGGTGTTCAGTTTTAAGGGTTATCAGGAAAGGAATCTCTTATAAAATGGTGAGAATGGAGAGACAAGAACAGACAGTTGGGGAGAATGGCATGAAACTTACCTGTGGGAAAAAAATTCTAGGCAAAGTGAAAGCAAATGTAGCCACTCAGGCAGGAGCATTCTTAGGAATTGCGTGATAAGATATGAGATTAGAGAGTTACCAGAGAGGCCTATCTGTAATGTTGATGGGCCCAGTAGAAAGTCTGTATATTCTGAATGAAAGGAGAAACCATTCAAATGTCTTTGAGCCCAGGAATAACATGAGCTCAGTGAGGTTTTGATGGATTCTTTCTGGCTGTTGTGTGGAGAGGTTGGGGCACTGGGGAAGTAGGGAAACTAGAAGAATTAAGAAATACTTGAATCCAGCCACTGGAAGTGTCACGAAGCTACCACTCCAGCATTCTGATACGCTGAGGCAAGAGGATCACAAGTTCAAGCCCAGCCTTTGAGCTAACTGTCTCAAAAGGACGAGGGAGAAATACAGCTCAGTGTAGAGGCCCTGGGTTGAGTCTCCTGGACTCCGGGGGGTAGAGGAGATGGACATAAAATGTTTGAATTCTTCATAGATTTTCAAATTAGAACTGAGGATTTGCTGATGGATGTGGGGTGTGAGAAAGAGTCAGGAGTGACTGAAGGTTTTGCTTAATAAGAACAGTGTAGTTGCCAGCTTCCCAAACAGAAAAGATTTTTTTTTTTATTTGGTTTTTCTCCGGTACCAGGAACCGAACTCAGGACCTTGCGCTTGCCAGGCAGGCGCTTTTGCCGCTGAGCTAAATCCCCAGCCCCCCAAACAGAAAAGATTGAGGCTGAAGCAGGTGTGGGACAGGGAAGCTCAGCAGTTCTGATCCGGAAGTGTGAAGCTGGAAGGCAAATGTTTGGGAGGGTGATGGGCAGGTAGGGTTTGGGGTGACCCTTTTGACATATGAAATGTCTGTTCAGTGAAATGTTATCAATTAGACATTCATTTGTCATTCATACGAGTAGATAAAAAACAATTTTAATCTTTCAGAAAAGTTTTTAGTACTTTAATATTAAATTCCTTTCATAGATTTTAAGTTTAGCAAAACTGAAATCTGCACGTAGTTGCTAAATTTTTCTTTGAGGCTGTTAATGCATACTAAGTGGAACCTATTTTGTGGAATACATGAGGAAGTATATCTTTTTAAAAATAAAATGGAACTAGGGACTCAGATTTTGGCACTATGGGAGAATATTTATTTTAGAATTATGAAAATATTGGCTACATGAAGCAAACATGCACTCCTCTTAGCAGTCTTTTCACCGCTTGTCTAATGCTCACTCTGTATGTTTCCTTTCCTTTCTGTTTGTATGAAAGCTTAATTTTGTGAGTTCATCTAAAACTTCAGATGGGAAATGTAGTGTAATGGTCAAAAGTATGAACTCAGACCCAGACTGTCTAGCTGTTACTTGCTTTGTTGACTTTTGGCCAATTATATTTTCTTCCTGGTTCTCAGTTTCCTTATCTCTGTAATGGAGACACTAAGTTTCTTACAGGGTTATGAAGAATAAATGAGTTAATATATGTAAAGCACTTGAAAAAAATGCCTTGATGCCATATTAAGTGCTGGCATGTTAAGATCTGCAAGGACAGGGATCTCGCACTCTCTTTTCAGTGTTACATTCCTAGGGTTTAGAACAGTATCTGACAGGTAGTAAATGCGCAGTAGATATTTGCTGTTCATATATTATATGGAACCCATTTGTTCAGATACTACTAAATTTTTTTTTTAAAACTTGTGTTTTGCATTTGCACTTGACCACTTATAGAAGTCAGCATTAAGTTGAATGTAATACTTAAATTTTTGTTTTAAAATTACTATCTTTTTTGTGGGGATGGGGATTCAAGGCAGAGTCTTGTACATGCTAAGCAAGTACTGTGCCACTGAGCTACATCTCTAAGATTGAGGTATTTTGGACTTACCTGTGTATAACTCTGGGACTGGTAACAAGAACAAAGCCATGGATTCAGAGTCCAAAAAGACATAACATGCTACGTTGCTTTGCAATGGTTTTGGATTGCTGGCGTAATGT